TAGTATAAACACTGTGCGACCGCGAATAAATGTACATACATAAATTAATTACATAAAAAAGAAAAAAAAAAGGCATATAAAAAATTGTTTGTTGCCTATCTAGTGACAGTGAAAGAAAGACAACATTTCCCCATATTTTTGTTTAATACATATTGTATATATATATCGATATTCCAATAATTATCCATCATTTATTTTGTTTGTTATTATTATTTTTTTTTTAGAGCTGTCTATCGTCTTGTTTGTTCAGAATTTTTACATATTTTTTAATGAGCTTTTAGGTATGCGCGTTTAAGTATGCAGCAGCAGCAGCAACAACCTAAACGTTAAAGTTAATTTTTTTTTTTGTCGCCATTATTGTCTCAAGGGCTTTCCCCACTATATGTGTGTACACAATGATATAATACAGCAGTACATCATACACAATGTAACTCAAAGCAACTTTGTAACAATTAAATTTTATCTCAAGTGCACAATTAACAGCAAAAGCAAATAAAACATAATATGTAAGTGTGATGTCTGTGTCTGTACTTATGCGAAAAAAGAAAATTGTGTTAAAATTTAAAAATAGTTTCTCTTTAATAGTTGTTATATATTGTTGAATATATAATAATGAAAAAAAAAAATTAAAAAAAAAACGAAAAAAAAAAAAACATAACAATTTAATTTAGCAGAAAACATGACATAAAAGTAATTTAATATATTCTTGTATTTGCATCATGTTCGGTCAATAATGAATGCAAGGAAGGAAGAACTAACGTAGGCAGTAGGCAGCAGCAGCAGCAGCAACAGTAGTTTTTTGTATAAGCGCAACAGTGAACAGTATGTACACGTGCCATAATAAAAAATTTAATAGAAAAAACAAAAACAAATGAAAAAAAAAGTAAAAGCTTAACTAAATTGCAACACAGAAACAACAACAACAACAAACTTTGAACTATACCGGACATTAATAGAATAACCAAAAACAGAACAACTTGTTAGTAGCAGCAGCATTAATATATGCCAAAGGCGTAAAGAAAGTTAATGTTTAACATGTCACACATTGCACACAACATAGGTGGTATGTGGTATAATCCAACACTGTTGTTGTTAATAATAACAACTGTTGAGTGTAATAAGTTCATGATGTTGCTGTTGTTATTGTGTTTGTTGGTATAGTGGGCGGCGTTCAGAGTTAAGATTGCATTTTAGTTTCCGTTACAAACACATTTATAATTTTAATAGAGTATTGATATGTTAACTTGAGTTAAGTGAACAAGTATGCAAGTTAGCAGAGACCATTGTCATGAGTAAGTAAAGTACACAAACTTTATTCGAGTAAACACTAAAATGAAGAGTGTGTCTGTACTTGTGACGTCACTAATGTTGTGAAGTGTTTTTTATTAATTGCAATTATTTTCGTTTAATTTTTTAAATGACTATTTGTAAGAACCAATATTACAAAAAAAAAAAAATTCTGACTCTGAGCTTGAAATTTGGCAGGACACGAGTTCGATTTCTAGTACTTGCAGTCTTAAAAAAATTATTTATGAATAATTAAATACAAGAATTATTTCTAAGACCACTGATGATGCGTATTTAGCAATACTCGAAATAGCTGTATGGTTAGGTCAGCCAAAAATTCAATTAATTAAAATAATATAAAATTGAATTTTTGTTGTTTTATGCCACTACTGTTCGAAAAATCTTTTTATAAAAAAATAATTATTGAAGTAAACTAATAAAAAATTGCGACAAATATGTTACTATCAATATAGATTTTAAGTAAAATTCTATAATTTTTTATAAGTGTTGTACGAATTTCTTTAAATTAATAATAAATAATAAAAAAACAAAATGCAACTATTAAAAAAAATTGTATTTAAAAATCATGAAAATAAAGAAAAATGCTTTCAAGTAGAGAGTAAACAAAACCTTACACGTGGGAATATACTTTTAATTTTAATTGAAGTGAAAAATATTATATAAAATGAATCTATAAACAAAGCATGGCAGAACAAAATAGTAACGCCGGAACTAATAACTAAAGTAGCCTCAGCAGTTAGACAGCAACAACAGCCGTGACGCCACTAACAGCAAAAAACTATAATTGATATCATACAAAAAAGAGAAAAAAACAAAAAAAAAAAAAATACAAGTAAACCAATAACAATAAGAACAAGAAATTCTTTTTTTAATTTTCTAATATTATAACAAGAATATATATTATATATGATGATAAAGTTGATTGAACTTTTATGAGTAGGTCTATTAAGCGTCAAGGTAATTTTACGTACGTAAATAGTAGCTAACATTCACTATCATTTATTTTTTTGCATCAATAGATGATTTAAAAATTTTTTTTAAAATTCTTTTTTAAGTAAATTTGCATTGACGTAAAATTTGTTTGAATTTCGGTCAAGATTTTTTTTTTTGCTAATGATTGCTCATCTCTTAAATCAATTGAAACACATTTTTCACTGCCTATTTCTAGGCACACAATTTTATACATGTATGTAGGTGTGGCAATGGCATAGCAACTTGTTTTATTTGTGTTTGTGGGCGATTGCTCATTTCTACCAAAATATTTTAATGACATTTTGTTTTTCCTAGAAAAACAAAATATTTAATACTTTTTCCAAAAAACAAATATATACATATCTATAGATATAAATATGTATGTATATAAAACAATTACATTTTTCGTAAGTATTTCAAGTATTTCTTTTTAAACAACACTGTCTGTCTGTTTATATAAATTATGTGATATTGTGCGGTATGGCAAAATAACCTACAGACATTTGGTATCCATCAACATGTGGTTTGAGCTTACAATACTATATACCAAAATGTCAAAGCTTCAATGGACTTAGGCGGTCGGTTTGTGGCTCAAATTTACTTGTGGATTTAAAGTTCACAATTTAGGTAACAATAACATTCTTAAATTGCTTCTATTATATTTTATTATGTATTAGAACATTTTATTTGTTATACATTTCTCTATAAAATATTTATTTGTATTAAAATTTTTTGCCCATAAAATATTTAGTTTTTTAAAAAATTTATATTTAACAAAATTCTTCGAAAAATATTATTTTTAAAAAATACAATACATAAGGAAATATTTTTATAACCAATTATTTTTAAAACATTTATATGTTATTATTATAAAATAAAAACACAAAAACAAAATTACTTTCTGAATTCTTGCAATGATTTAGATCATATTTTTTTCTCAAATATTATTTAATATTCATGATAATTTTTATGCATTTATACTTTGCAATAAAAACAGAGCAACAACAACAACAATACAATACAATACAACAATACCAACACGGTATCTAATATTGCAATCATGAGGCTGGCTCCATCACCAGCAGCAGCGCCGCAATGTTGGTGGCCCAAATTTTTATTTTATATAAAAATGAATGTCTTTATTTTTAAAAAATTTTATGAATTTGTATTTATGGGAAATATTTTTCCTTTTTTTTTTTTATTTTTTTAAATTTTTATTTTTGCAATGTTATCGCGCTGATGAACTTTCACATTTTAATAGCTTAACAGCATCCGCCAACGCTAAGGAGACGCGCACCAATACTATGCAATATTAATGTTACTCTGCTGCTGGGGTGCTAGCTAGTTATTGCCAAAACAATAAACATACAAACACAAAACAAAACAAAAAAAAAAATAAATAAAAAGAAAAGCAATTCAATCATAACAGTAGAAGTAATATAATTATTATTGTTGTTGTTGTATGTTCATAAAATTTGAAGTTGTTGTGAATGAGTGTAGCAGCAGTGTTATTCCTGCTGAAGGCAAAAGTTATATATATATATTTATTTTTTTTATGTAAATATGAAGGAAATAATAAATACATTAAAGCAAACAATCAACCATAGAATTGTTTTTAATTTTTTCTTATTTGTTTGTTATTTGTTGCAATTTTTACAAATTGAAAGGTGCTTTTGCCTGCTCATTGCCTCATTGCCTCATTGCATACTCGTGCTGACCAAATACATTCACTCACAATGTTCAGTTCAGTCTCAACATTTGCAACGACAGACACAAAAACAAAAAATCCTGCTTAATTTTTTGTGCAAGGCGTCAGTTATGGGACGGTCAAAACACCCACAACTTTCAGTTTGTGATTGCAATAGTAACAACAATAATAACAACAACAATAAGAAGAGCAACAACAACAGCAGCGGCAGTCGCAGTGATAAAATAAATGAACATATATTTGACGATGGCGGGCGGTAGTAGCGGCGACGGCTTCCTATTACGAGGCTAACACGCTACGCCATGCTGTGTTGTCTGTTGTTGGTTGGCAGGCAGGCAGCTAAAGCATTAGACACGCTCGCTCTTAACTTTGTTGCATGCGGAAATATAAATCTTATTTCGCGTTTAACTATCGTGAATTTTCCATTTTGCATTTATTTTAACTTTTAAACAAGCTGCTGGTACTGCAGTGCCGCCGCCGCCGCCGCTGCTGCCGGGGAGTCATGCAATTAATAATCCAACACACAAATCAGACACAAAATAGTAGCTTTTAAATGCATAAATAGTACGGGTTCGCTCCTCTGTAAACGCAACAATCGTCCAATAGTGGAAAGAAGGCAAGCGACTGAAGTAGACTTGGCTAAAACTAAAACTTATCGCCGCGACTGAACCTAATAGAGAGACCGACAAGAGACCCTATACAATAACAACAAATGCTTTTGTTTTAATGTATTTTCAATGAAAATGTCATTTACTTTCATTTTGTGTCATTTTTATAAATTTTATATTGCTCTTTCAATACTAAACTTTTGGTTGCATAATGTATCATGTGGCAACACTGCATACAGATTAGAGCACACGTGCAGCTTGCATATTTTAGTTGAAAAATTAACAAAGAAATAAATATTTATATATGTATATGCCGGCAGTCAACTCCACATTATACTACTTATCAAGCGATCAAGTAATTGTAATTTTAATTAAAATCAAAATTTTTTATATATGTTTTTTATTCAACTTACCGTATACACGAAGAAAATTTTGAAATTTTTTGCTTCCACTCGTAATTCTGGTGTCCATGGAATTTCACCTTTTTTGATCATTTGCACTGGATCAATATATATGAGTCTCGGTCCTGTTGTAAGCAAGAGCATACGTTTGCGTGCAAATAGGCCTTTACGTTTATTTATGAAACCCTTTTCCAGTATGACTTCATTATCAGCAAATGCATGCCATTTATCGGTTTTCTGTTGTTCTAAGCGTTTCTGTTTTTCCGCCTCAGAAAACACAAATAAATCTATAAAAGCAAAAACAAAACGATAATATTAATCATCCAAAAACAAGTCGAAACTCTCTTTAACCTTACATACCTTTTCTTTCAGTCTTTTTCTCAGTTTCCACACAATCGCTTTCATTATTAGCAAAAGCTGTACCCAATTCCATAACCATAAGACGTGTTATCTGTCTCTCATCAAGTCCAGGTTCTAAATTATCAGGCAAATGATATTCTGTGCTTAAATCATAATCAGACAAATAGGGATTCATTGGCGGTGGTGTTTGTTCGCGCACTGTATCGAAATCGATATTTGCAAAGAATGGATGCGAACGTATGCTGGCATAATAACCACTAATATCATTTGCACCCAAACGTTCTCGCGGATTTAATTTCAATAGTTTACGTACTAAATCTTCAGCATCCTTATCGAAACCCTCGGGAAATTCCAAATCACAAGCAAGTATCTCTTTGAAAATTGCATAATCGTTAGTGCCACGAAACGGTGGTAAGCCCGAAATCATTTGGTAGAGTATACAGCCTACTGCCCATAAGTCAGCGGCTGGTGAAATAATACCATTTTGTAAGACTTCGGGTGATACATATTGCGCTGTACCCACAAAACTGCCATGACGTTTCCGATGATAACGTGATTGTTGTCGATTGGGTGAATCGAAATCATCACTACTTGTATCATTACTAAATTCATTATCATCAGCATCATCATCATCGTCAGAACTGTAACGTGTAGAGATACGAGAAGTTCGCACACTCGTTGAACTTGTATGATTTCTTCTTCTCGTTTCCGTTGGATGATAATCTGCTTCATCGGCAGCTAAACGCTCTTCGGGTGTTAATATTTTCGCTGAACCAAAATCGGCTATGAGAGTGTGCATATTTTCATCAAGCAATATATTTTCGGGCTTAAGGTCACGATGTATAATATTGCGTGAGTGCATCTCTTCGCAGGCTAATACTAATTCAGCGGCATAATGACGCGAACAGTCAACATCAAAGGAACCAAATTTATTTATGCAGGGCAGCAAATCACCATTCTTGGCGTAATTCATAACGAAAAATAATCGAAAATCATCTTGAAAGGTACATGACAAGTTTACGAAACCGGGTACTGTACTTAACATATGCATTACTTCACGTTCACGGCGTATGTAATCCTGTTTACGTTCACGTACTATGAGGCGCTTTTCACATACTTTAACTATAACGAAAAGAAAATAGAACAACAATTAAAAACTTAATACATAATTAAAAAAAATACTATATATTATATTGTATATGTAAATATAATATAATTATTTTACTTAACTAATTTAGAAAATTAACATACATATAATAACATACATTAAAATAGTAATAATATATACAAAATATTATATATAAAATTTTTAATAATTTAATAAGATAATACTAAATATTTAGTCATCGATTCTTATTTGATTGGCACAAGTTCTAAGCCTGACACTTGCGGTCCAAACAAATATTTTCCAAGACCACTGATGAGTACTTGGTAATACTCAAAAAGAGTTGCATGGTCAGCCAAGTTTCAATAAATTAACTAAATTTTTGTTCTTGCCTTTTCTTTGCTACTCGAACCCTTCTAACTTTTAAATAGTTTCTTTTCGTCATAAAGACGCGTCACTATCGGCAAGAAAAAATTAACATTAAAATATTTAATATTTTTTATACTTTTATTTTTATATACTATAAATTATTATTTAATTTATACTAATGTAATATTATTATTATTATTAATATAATAAAATTTATATACTATTATACTATATATATTTATGTAATAGAAACTCATTTATAAAATTTATGCAATATTTCAAATAATAAAGAAAAAACGAAATTAATTTTCTAAAAGTATTTTTAGTCAAAAGTAATTTAAAACATTTCTCTGTTCTTGGTCATTACAACGTCTGGCAGCGCACACACACATCAACAAATATATATTCGTGTGCATGCATGCAAACATATGAATAAAAGTGAGTGTAGCGCCTTTGATAATCTTAAATTTATTTTTATATTAAAACCACACAACAATAACAAAAACAATATTAACAAAAAAAATAATAATAACAACAACAAGTGTTAAGACACTGTGTATAACGGTACACTTGTGGTGGGTGGAAGAAAATCACATTTAGCATGACTGCGACGAAAAGGCTGCGTTGGCTGGCTGCAATGCTGCCTGCTTCTGCTGCTACCGTTTAAGCAACACAAATGTTAATTCTGTCGCTGTTCTTGTTTAATGTAAAAAGCTTTGCCAAAGTACAATAACAAATCTAACAAGAAAATAACAAAAACAAGTCAAACAAACAATAACTACAACAATTTTATTAATAAAAAGAATCACAATTTTCAAAATGAAGAAAAAAGTAATTTTTGTTTTTTTTTTTCGTTTTTGCAACAGTTTAAATATATTTTAATTTTAGCAAATGAAAGCAACCACCTGAATGAATTTTTGCCTGCCGTTTATTCGGTTCAGCGGGATTTGATCTTCTTTTCGAATTCTTCAATGAATTTTTATTCAATTTACAAATTTTTGATTTTGCTGATGATTTTTCTTCTGTTTGCTTTTAACGTAAAGATTGAAGCTCAAGATTTTTTAGGGTTTTTCGTTTAATTGAAAATTAATGTAATTTATTTTAATAAAATTTATAAACTAGTGAAATTATAATAATAATTATTTAATAATAATAATAATTTCCAAACAATATTTTCTTAATAATTTTAATTTAAAATAAAATAATTTATTTTAATAAAATTATTAAACTAGTGAAATTATAATAATATTAAATTAAAGTAAAATAATTGATTTTAATCAAATTTGTAAATTTATATATATATAAATCTATACATAAAATTATTACAATATTTCAAAAAAGTCTCAATTTATATTGTGTATTAATAATTATGTTATTAAAAATTATATTATTATTAAATAAATTATTAATAACTATATTATTAATAACTATATTATTAATACTCATATTATTAATAATTATAATATTAATAATTATATTATTAAATACAAGTTGTTAATTTTATTTACTTTAAAGTAAGAAAAAAAAATTAATTCTAATATACATTTTGTTTATAATTTATAATTTTCTTAATATTAATTTTTCTACATATGTACATATATTTTGAAAAGACACCGTTTGAAAAATTTCTCAAATAATTGCTACACACAGAGGAGAATGCGCTTAGAAGCAATTATTTTAAAACTGTAGATTACGAAACCCCCACAAAAGAAACTAACGGCAGCATTCAAAAGCACAACAAAACAAAAACAAATACAAAAAAAAAATTTGCATCCATATAATAAATATGTATATTCATTAATATAATAAAAACAATCAAAATAAAAACCTGATTTGTGCTTATCTTCAGACTTATTTTTTTTAAATTTTTTCTATATTTTGTTTTTTTATTTTTTTTGTTTTTGATTTGCTTTTTATTCAAACACCTTTTGCAAAAAGAAAATAAAATGACTTTGTTTTGCTGCCTTGCTTATCGTTTTTTGTTGTCAGCGCGGCTTTGATATTTTATATTAAATTTTTTCGTTATAATAATTTTATGATCAACAGAACCAAAAAAAAAAAAGAAAAAAAGAAAAAAAATATCACCAAAATAACAAATTAAAATAATAATTTTTCTATTTTTAAATTGTTTTTGTATTAATTTAAACTAATAAACAAAAAAATAATGTGTGTTATGAGGTCCATGGAATTTAATTTTTGAAATTATTTTTAAATTGGTTTTTTAAAATTAAGTTACCTTTTGTTTTTGTTATTAGTTTATTTATATTTTAATTAATTTGTTGCTATGCTTAATTTGTTAATAATATTATTTTTCTTCAAAGAACATAGCGAAAAAAAAATAATAAAAATAACAAGTTAGTGACTGATAAAGCAAAACTATGAGTAGAAATTATGATTTCATAAATAAAAATTTGATAAAAGGCTAGACTATAGTAGATAAAAAATTATACAAATTATGTACAAATTAAAAATAAAGAAAGTACAAGAAATTTGTTTTAATAACATTATGTATTTTTTATACTGTAAATATCTACTATATAAAATGTATACAATATGTATATATACACTTATACCATATATAGAAAAATTTCAAAACAATATATAAACTTTAAAACTATACAAAATTCTATTTATTTTTTATTTTTATTAATATAACATTATTTTTTATTTTTTTTTTAAATAAGTTTAAATAAGTAAAAAAAAACAAGACTAACTTGACTTAGAAAACAATAAGATTAAGTTGTTTGCACTGTCTGCAAATAAATATTAATAACATTTTTTTATAATCTTATTAATTTAAATATTAGTTTTTTTTTTAATAACTTTCCAGTAAAAAATCAAAGTCAAGTGAGCTTATCTGTATTATTGTTTTGTTGCTTCTCTAACAATTTTAATTTAATAAATAATTTTTTTTTAGTAAGAAAATACAAATGCATCTGCTAAATACTTGCAATGTAAAAGCTATTCAAATATATGAAGAAATAAGCAGCAGCAAATGCTGATTTCAGTTTTTCTGCTTATTTTGACAGCAAACGCAATTGCTTTGCAACAAAAGCGGCAAATAAGGTTGCAAGTATATTTGCTGTGATGCTAACACTTTTTGTTCTTTTAAGTAATACGTGTAAATACAATATTCATTAGTAAAATTTTATAATCATATAAAATTTATATAAATTTGAATTTATAAATTTATAAAATATATATAATAATTTTTTTATTTCCATATAGTTTAAAATGTTCTATTTCTTTTATAAATATTGGTTTGCAAAAAATTATCGTAAAATAAATTATACTAAAATATAAGAACATAAAATTATAGAGAAAGAATAAAAATAATAAAGAATATTTTTGTTTTTAGTTTCTGTTTTTTAATAATTTATTGTTTTAATGACCAAAAAATTTTTAATAATACAGTTATTTTTTACGGACTAATTGGTCAAGGTTTTATTTTAACTAATATTTCGACTATAATCTATGTTTCTGTTTTTTTAAAGTTTAAAATATTATATAAAATAAAAAAAAAACTTTGTAAAATATTAAAAAATGTAAATAAACTAAAGTTGTAATTTAAATTTTTGTAATGAGGTTATCAAAAAAATAATAAAAAAAATTGCAAAAAAAAATGACAAAAAATATGAAAAAAAAAAAAATATAATATATTAAAGAAATTGCAAAAAAAAAGCAAAATAAATGACAAAAAATATTAATAAGAAAAAAAACATTTAAAGAAGTTGAAAAATAATTTTATATATTATAAATAAAAATTGCTGTGTAATATTTCAATAATTGATTTTTCATTTTATAAACAAAAGCAATTGTATGTTTCTATATTACGTGTGTAAAGCAGTCGATAAACAATTTTAATGCATTAAGAAAACATACTCTAGGTCGTTGTTTAATTAATAAAAAAAATGCTTTAGTTTTATAAAAATAATATATATTTTATTAATAATAATATTAATAATAAATTTGCAATTGTTTTAAAACAAAAAACATACATTGTCAGCAAATAATTAAGGCGCACGACGTACGTAATTTGAGCTTTTGTTTAAGCAAGTGAAAACGGGGCAAGCAAAAGTTCGAGTTCGATGTTCTTTCCAAATATATCAAGACACATATACAACAAAAACATATATGTTTTTATGTATGTGTATAATATATATATACATATATAATGTACAGAGAATATATGTATGTATTATGCATGACTGTAAGTCAATACAAAATAAAATTTAATAATGACAATTCTGTTACTTTTTTTGAACAAGGTTCATTTGCTTTTTTCTGTAAATTAAGCATTTTTTTAATTTTAATACTAAACACGAGCAATAAAGCAAAACAAAAAATTGGTCACAAATGTAGGCGGTTGCAACACGTTTTCTGGTATTCACTCGAGCAGTCAAAAAAAAAAAAAATTATATATGTAAGCAAAAATTACTGGAAAAATAATTTTTTTTTACTTATAATAATTTAATGTACTTATAATATTAAAAAAAAAATTTTTTTTTCTTTATAAAACATTAACGTTTTTCGCTAACCTATGTTTTGCTATTTTTTCATTCCCTTGGTTTCTCAAAGATTAGTGAATCAATTGATTTTTATCACATAAAATTTTTTTTTTTTAAGAGTTTCTTGACATTTTGCGATT